GAAGGTTGTCAGTTGGCCCCACAAAGGAGGCAAAAGCTCCCAATCACCAGCAGCCCGGGGGACCCCCGCAGGGCTGCCGCTTCCTGGGAGGCCTGCCCACCCCCCACCATGGGCGAGGCTTCAGAGCAGGGCCGGCCTGCTGGGGGGCTTGGTACCAGGTCTAATTGGTTAAGAGAAGAAAGGCCAGGGCCTGGGGGAAGTGGCTTTTGGGGGAACTGCAGCAAAACCCTGGGAGGAAGGGCCCCACGATCATCCCTGCCGAAGATTTGGAGGGTTCTGGGGAGAACTGAAGGGCCTGAGACGTCACCCAGCACAGGTTCCGAAGATACAGACCTCTGGGTCAGAGAGAAAGGACACCCACGTCTCACAACAAACTCCCAGGCGTTGCCCCAGGGGTCTGGAGGCCCAGGTTCTGGCCCGGGAGGCCTGGGCAGTGGGTACCTGACACTTCTAACCAGCACAATCTTTGCCCCAAGGATGACATCCCACTAATGACAGGACAGGAGGCAAGCCTGCCCCTGCGCCGTCTCCCACAGCTGCTCAGCAGGAGAACGTGCTGAGAAGGACAGCCTAGAGCTCCCCTCACCGCTGGCCCCGGGTCTCGGGAGTCAGGGTCCCGGGTCCCACTCCACAGGGAGATGTGTAGGCCACCCCTGCCCACCAGCCAGCCAGCTCACCAGCTCTGGGGTTCAGGGCAAGTTCCAGGGGGATGCCTTCCCCCGGGGGGGTTGGGGGCGGTCTCCTCAAGGCTCGACCTCAGGGGAAAATGTCGGGGCTCCACTTACAGGCTGCTCTTCTGAGAGGAGCCCTGTCTCCGCAGCACCTCAGGCTTCAACAGAGGCCATGTCCCCAGCTCGCCGCCCCTGCTTCCTCAGCAGGGTCTCAGCGCAGAGGGGAGCTTGCCCCCAAACCCAGCCTCCGCACCCACAAACCCACCCACGTTGTGTCTCTACTTTCACGGATTCTCAGACAGGAAGCTGTGCTGACGGCAGGGCCCCTCCCTCCATCAGCCTCCCGCGGTCCCCGCCCCTGCGCGCCATGTCACTTCGGGGAAACTGAGAGGCTCGGATGCTGCAACAGCGGCCCCACCCCGGGCGCCCCGCGCCAAGCCCCCGCACCCCGCGCCCCTCTCCCGGGATTCTCCGCCCCTTCCTGCAGCCTGGAGCCGTCTGGGGTCACCGGCACTCGCCTCCCTCCCTGGGGACCCTCTCGACCACCACACCCTGGCCAGCCGTCCCGGGGAGCTCGAGGAAACGTGTTGCCCCCTCCCAGGACATCCCCTGAGCCGTCCAGATGACTCAGCCCCCTCGGCCGCCCACGGGATTCAGACCCTCACTACCCGCAAGGCACCTACCCCGGCTGCGCCCGCTTCTGGAGCCCCTTCGGCCACGTGTGGGCCTGCGTCGCCACCTGGTGGCTGCCGGGACAGAACGCAGCAACAGGGGCATGAAAGGTGCCGGAGGTAGCGAGGGGGCAGGAGCCTCTGGGCCCACGCAGGTCTTCTGGTTTTAAACTGCAGCTGTTGTCCCAGCACAGATGGAGACGGACCCGCAGAGATGGCACGGGGAACGGTGACTGCAGGTCCAGGGCCAGCATCTGCCTGGCGCTGCTGGACACCCTCCCCCTCAGTGAGCTGGGGACACTCCGAGAGGAAGGCCAGGCCCTGCCCTCCTGGAGTATAAAGTACAGCATGGAAATGAGAACATACAGACAAAGAAGCAGGCGGGATATACATCAACTATTCCTCAATTTTTTAAATTAAAACAAAATAGTAAGCAGGGTAATTTCAGTTTGGAAACAGCTAGGAAGCACATGAAGCAGTGTGAGGTATGAAGGATGATGGAGGCGGGAGGGGGCGAGGACTCTCTCAGGAAAGTTCCTAAGGACAGGCCTAGGAGAGCATCCTGCTGGAGGAGACTGCCGGGCAAAGGCCCTGGGGCACAGACGGGTGGTGTGTTCCTCCAGTGGAGGGAATTCAGAGGGAAAGTAGTCAGAGGCCAGACGAGAATGGCAGAGTGACTCAGGAAGGCAGCAGCGGCAAGGCCTCATCGTGCTGGTCTGGTACTGGGTCAGTGCTCTGACCTCCCATGCAGCGGCCCAGGTAAAACTACAGCCTCACAGAGGATGCCGTGAATAAACCTCTCAGCACTCCACAGGTGCTGACAGATGCCAGCAAGACTCAGGGTCACAGCACGTGGGGCCCACACGGGGCCCCAGGTCTCCGTCCTGGTCCTGGGGCGACGTCACATGCAGCATGCACAGTGGGCCGTATCACGGCTGACAGACCTGGGGCCACGGGGCAAGCAGCAAACCCACCACGTCCCCTCCCCCAGGACGGAGG